TTCTTGTGTTTTTTTTTTTTTTTTTTTTTTAGTCTGGTCTGCAGTTAGAGTGCAGACAAGGTGATGGTAAACAATGTAGTGTTTATACAGACCTGGGATAAGGGTGATTGCTTCCAAAGCACAGGAAAGGCAGCGGTAACAGACATTATTTGCAGAGTTTCTGGGTATCCCCGGATATATCAAAATGGCATTTCAAAAGTACAGTTCTCCTTTTAATTGCTGGACTTTATGATCCTAGGTTACACTATATAGTTCCTATGTTAAATGCAGCGAGTTCAGGTGGATTAAAAATGTACAGCCTCTTATCAGCCAGCTCCTTGAATATGTTCTCTCTCACTTTCAGCTTAATGTTTCAGCCTGATATGCCATCACTTAAATATGGAGAGTGAACATCTGGGAACTTTTCTAAAAGTTTTGCTGGTAACCTTTTGTAATTTTCACACTGACCTCTTTCTGCATTATCTCCGCAGCGGCACTTAGAAGCACCCAGAGGGGACAATTTTGTGGATTAAATGTAGATGAGTTTCATTATAAAATTCGGAATTGTAGCTTCCATTTTCCCTTTTAACTTTCAGAAATGCAGATTATAGAACAGTGGAAATCTGTGCGCACATGTTACAGATATTAGAAATATCATTGTGTTTTAAGAGGTTTCCCAATGTCATTTCAAATCCCTGAATAATAACAAATCCCCCTGCATGATGTCCAGGAATGCTTTGTACAGTTTTCTAATCAATTCTGTATTAACAAAAGAACAATTCTAAAATAATGAAAATTATTGTTGATGCCATTACCACTTAATGCTTTCCTAATAATTAAACTTTGCAATGCACGCAAAAAGCGCAGCTTGGCTGCTCAGTATCTCCATTTTCATAGAGACATTTGTGGACTAGTCCACCCCAATCCATTTTGTATATAATTTGGAAACCCCTGTACGCTGCTTGTGATGTAGGATGGTGTTCCCAAACACCCCCCCGCATGCTTCCTGGCTCATATACAGAAAACTAACCACCAATCAGATGTAACCTCACATGGCTTCCAATACCATCTCTATGCTGATGACACTCAAATATCTTTTCACTCCACAACTCGCCCCCTTGTTGTCCCTTGCGCTTCACTAATTAATTAACTGACATATCAGTCTGGATGTCACAACACTTCTTTAAAACGCAATCTTTTGAAAACTGAGCTCATGATATTTCCTCCCCCCCGTGCGGGGAGGAAATATAATCTCAATTTTCCATTGAGATTGATAACACAACTATCCCTACGTCCCCCCCATGCCAAGGTGCTAGGTGGCATCCTTGACTCTGACCTCACCTGTGTGCCACATATGCAATCGCTATCCAAATCCTGCCGCCTTCCCTTTCATTACATCTCCAAAATACACCCCTTCCTAACCAATGAAACAACAAAGCTACTCATCCACTCACTTGTTATCTCTTGTCTTGACTTTTGCAACTCCTTCCTCATTGACTTACCTCTACACAGGCTATCCCCCCTGCACTCTGTCATGAACGCTGCTGCCAGGCTGATCCACTCAACCAACCACTCAGTGTCTGCAACCCCCCTCTGTCAATCCCCCCCACTGGCTTTCAATAGCCCAAAGGATAACATTCTAAATATTAACAACCACTTGCAAAGCCATCCACAACTCTGCCCCTGGCTATACTGTATCTTCAACATTGTCTCAAAGTATCACCCTCTGGCTCCCTTATTAACTCCTCCCTGCTCGCATCCAGGGCTTTTCTGGAGTCTCTCCCATCCTCTAGAACCCCCCTACCCCAACCTGTCCGGCTATCTCCTACATTGTCTACCTTTAGGCGAAGCCTATCCCGCCTCAACCGAACCACCGTACTATTACTTTCTCAAACAACTCATTACCACACAGCTACCACCTTTTGTATCACTTTATTTTATTCTACTGAGTCTGTGATTTCAGAAAATATAAAATGTTTGGTGGTTTTAAGTAATCTTCCAGCCTAAGAAGTGCAATTTAACATATGGAAAAAAAAAGGAAACAAAAAAAAAAAGCTCTGCCAGCGAAAGAGTTAAATCTTCCTTAGAATTGTGATCCTAGCTGCTAATACAGGTAGCAGAGACAAAGGGAGAAGAATTTATACAGCATTGTCTTTAGGAACTACACTCCCAGTGATCCTGTCAGGATTCTGACTGTAATAGATTTTACAACACTGGGCAGTTTGAAGCCTCGTTCACACCAGACATAGTGCGCTCCGGCCCGATTCTGGCCAGATTGCACTGCATCGCATTGGGGCCAGCTCAGTATGTTGTGGGGCAGGAGGGGGCGTGGTGGTCCATTGAAGTGAATGGCACTGTAGCCACGCCCTCCGGCCGCACAGGATCACAGGGCATGCGGTCCGAACAAAATAGTGCTTGAGGGCATGGCTACGGTGCCATTCACTTCAATGGACCACCATGCCCCCTCCTGCCCCACAACATAGTGAGCCGGCCGCAATACGATGCAGTGCAATCTGGCCAGAATCGGTGCGGCCTCTTATCAGCCAGCTCCTTGAATATGTATCTGGTGTGAACGAGGCCTGAGTGAGCTTTTGATATCCGCACAGCTGCATTGTTTGCAGGATAGTATCAGTCGCTCACTGATTGCTTTCAACGAATCGCCTGTAATTGCTCATTGTCAGGGGGAGTACTGTGATCTCTCTGAGAGGTAATAAAAACCTGTAAGTGTTACACTTAATCATTACTTAGCATGCATTCACGTTACATTAAAAACATTTATATCAGTCTCCTTCAACGACAAGCAATGTTTTCCTGCTGACTCAGAGAATTTGTACCGATTTTCAAATTCTTTTCTCTTTTTTTGTACTGTCAAACCTCTTAACAGAGAGAGAAGCGTTGCAGTGACTTTGCCAATTAACCTTTCTACCTACAGTTTTGGTGGCATTTAAATTTCACAGAATACTGGAGGTCTTCTTTGTGAATATAAAAGTGATGTGTCTTGTAAGTGTTAGACCGTTTCTGTTTTTAATGTGTCCTTCCGTCCTTCCTGTTATTTCATGTGTTCAGCAAACACAGCTGTATTATAAGTTG